ATACAGTATTAAGGTGAAAGAAAATCTAGACTTATAAGTAATATACCATTCATGTATTCAACAAGTATTTTATTAAACACCTGATATGCATTAGGCAATGTTCTAGGCGCTAATCCCAATTTTATTTATCTTTATTGAGTGATCATTGACATACAATAAACTACATGTTTAAAATGTACAACTTTCCAGCCGGGCTCAGTGGCTCAACCTGTAATCCCACGCCTTTGGAAGGTTGAGGTGAGTGGATTGCCTGAGCATGCGGGTTCGAGACCCGCCCGGGCAATTTGGCGAGACCTCATCTCTACAATAAATCAAAAAATTATTAGCCAGGCATGGTAGCGCGCGCCTGTAGTTCCACTACTTGGAAGGCTGAGGCGGAAGGATCGCTGGAGCCCAGCAGGTCGAGGCTGCGGTGGCCAGGAGCGGCCACTGCATTCCAGTTTGGGCGACAGAGTGAGATTCCAACTCAATAAAATAAAATAAAATGTACAATTTTCTGTTTTTGACATGTGCATACACCCAGTAAGTCATCACCATAATTAAAATAACATATCTATCACCACCAAAGATTTACTCATATCCTTTGTAATCCCTGTCTGCCACCTTTGCTCCTAACTTCTCCCCATTCCTAGACAACCACTGATCTGTGTTTTATAGAGTATATTTCCTAGTGTTGTATATAAATGGAATCATACAGTATACATTTTTTTTGGTCTGGCTCTTTTCATTCATAAGTATTTTGAGATTCAGTCATGTTATTATGTGTATCATCAGTATATACTTTTTTTAAACTGAGTAGTGTCTATAGTGTAGATATGCCACAATTAGTTTATCCATTCAGTTGTTGATAGACATTTGAGTTGTTAGAACTTTGGGGCTTATAAAAATAAAGCTGTGACGAACAGTAATGTGTAAGTTCTTGTATGTACAATTACGTTTCTTCATATACTTCTATGAAGAATTTACCTTCTTTAGGTTAATACCTAGAATAGGAGTTTTTAAGGAAGCTTCACAATTATTATCCAAAATGGTTGTATCATTTTACTTTCTCACTCACAGTATGTAAGAGTCCTAGTTCCTCCACATCTTTGCAAACACTTGGTTTGGTTGGTCTTTTTCATTTCACCAATTCTAGTGATATGCAGCGGAATCTCACTGTAGTATTGATTTATATTTTTCTAATGATTGATGATGCTGAACATATTTTTATGTACTGACTTACCATCCACATGACTTCTTTAACACATTTGAAATATTTCATTGTCTTCTGATTTCTGTTGTTTGTTGAGGAGTCAGCTCTTAGTCTGACTGTCTCTCTGTTTTTAAGATCTTTTTTTCATGTTTTATTTTTTATAACTTCATTACTGTGAACTTCATAAAGTCCACAGTAATCTAACTGTGGACTTTAAAAAAACAACAACACTGACTGCTATTCTTTGAGCTTCAATGAAGCTATGGACTGGTATTATTCATCAGTTCTAGATACTTCTCAATTATCTTTCCAAATCTTGCCTCTGCTTCATTCTTTTCCTCTGCAATTTCCATTCCATGTGAGGACACTATACATATAAAACACTTAGCATGTTTCCAGTGTTAGTGAGTGCTCAATAATGTTGAAAGCAAGTATGCTCTATTTTATTGTACTTCACTTTATTGCACTTGGCAGACATTGCATTTTTTTTACAAACTAAAAATTTGTGGCAACCCTGCATCCAGAAATTCTATCACTGTTATTTTTTCCAAAAGCATATGTTCCCTTCATGTGTCTATGGCACATTTTGGCAATACACCCAATATTTCAAACTTTTTCATTATTATATATGGTGTTATGTGTGTTCAGCTATCCCTGGGTGTGTACTATTTGCGATCACTGAGAAAGTCCTGTTGGGATGCAGTTTTATCAGAGACAATTTGCATTTGCATCTGTCAGGTGCTTGCATATATGTATTTCCAGACTAGAACTCCTTCAGCTAAATGTTTACCTTGGTGTTCCTTGTAATCACCCTTGCTTCTCGCTTATCAGCTTGACATTTCTTGTAACCACCTTGGATGTGAATTTGGGCTGAAAACCCATGCAAGGTTCGGCTAGTGCTCATCACTTGTCATAGAGCTGTGCTTAGTGCTTAGGTAGTATTCTCTCTGCAAGGTGGGATGAGGTGTGAGTTCACTTCTGGTTTTTCATTCACTGACAGGGTAACCCTTTGGGTCCCCACTTAATATGGAGAAGGTATTCTTTAGAGTCCCTACTATGCACAGGCCTTGGGCTTTGGCTTTTGTGCCCCTTGTCATCAAGGCTGACAAAATTTCTTCTCTAATTCTCTGGGATAAGAAAATGTCCTTAGAGCAAGCTCAGGTTCTATCTGCTTCTCTAGATCTGGCTTTATCTTGGTTTTGGGACTGATGTTTTCTTTTTCTTTTTTGAGTTGGCATCTCACTCTGTTGCCCAGGCTGGAGTGCAGTGGCATGCTCATGGCCACCCCAGCGTCGACCTGCTGGGTTTAGGTGATCCTTCCACCTCAGCCTTCCAAGTAGCTGGAACCACAGGCAAGCACCACCATGCCCAGCTCATTTTTTAATTTATTTTAGAGACCAGGCTTCACCAAGTTGCCCAGGCTGGTCTCGAACCCCTGAGCTCAGGCAGTCCTCTTGCCTTTGCCTCCCTAAGTGCTGAGATTACAGGCTGAGCCACCATGCCTGGCCTAAAACATTTTTTCTCCAGCATTTTTAGCAGTTTGCTGGGGAGGTTTGTTTGAATAATCTAGTCCAGCACAGTCACTTAAACGGAAGTTTTGCTCTTCTATACAAAATGTTAATATGAGCTTATTTTTAAATGTCAGAGCATAGCCTGTGTGTATAGAAAGGACTATTTATAGTTATTTGGACTTCAAATTAATATTGACTTTCTAAAACTAAAAAAAAAAGAGCTTTTCTGCCAACCTGTGATTTCAGTGCATGATTCTTGTCATTCTATTTATAAATTGAGTTATTTTTTCATAAAGTAAGAATTATCTCCCTTATTTTTTTCTGAAATTAGTGTTCAGTTAACTCAAATTGAAAAGACCACCCTGGGGTGGGGGACGGATTGGCAATAGTGGGAATCTGCCAGGGAAGGTGGGGCACACCTCATCAACAAGAGTATCTGCATAATGAACATTTGTATACCTAACCCTGAGTTGTACCCCACATTGTTAAAATAAAAAAATTTTTTTAAAAATAAAATACTGGCCGGGCTCAGTGGCTCAGCCTGTAATCCCAGCGCTTTGGGAGGCTGAGGTGAGTGGATTGCTTGAGCCCACGGGTTCGAGACACACCTGGGCAGCTTGGTGAGACCTCATCTCCACAATAAATAAAAAATTAGCCAGTCCTGGTAGTGTGCGCCTATGGTTCCAGCTACTTGGAAGACTGAGGCAGAAGGATCGCCGGAGCCCAGCTGGTCAAGGCTGCAGTGGCCGGGAGTGGCCACAGCACTCCAGTCTGGGCGACAGAGTGAGACTCCAACTCAAAAAATAAAAAAATTAAAATTAAATTAAAATTTAAAAAAAGACTATCCTTAAGTAATCAGTCCATTACAAACTTAGTTAACAAAAATCTTTTAAATATGTTAAACTTTCATATAAATTTAACACATCTGGTAGGCTGGGCGCGGTGGCTCATGCCTGCAATCCCAGCACTTTGGAAGGCCATGGTGAAAGGATTGCCTGAGCCCATGGGTTTGAGACCAGCCTGGGCAGCTTGGTGAGACCTCATCTCTACAATAAATCAAAAAATTAGCTGGGCGTGGTGGCGCATGCCTGTAGTTTCCGCCACTTGGAAGGCAGAGGCAGAAGGATTGCCTGAGCCCAGCAGGTTGAGGCTATGGTGACCTGGAGCGCGTCACTGCACTCCAAACCTACATGCCTATTTCAACAGAGTTCCATAAAGTAAAATATGGAGTCCAGCAAAGGTGAAAATTCAGCAGTATCTCTCTGTAGTGCCATTTTAATTCCTTAACCTTATCTTCTTTCTCTTGAGGCTTCAGTAGTAGACACTTATTAACCAGGTTAGGCATGAGCCATACTTTATATCATGTTTGACTGTATAACATAACATGAACCTTAATCTCTCTGTCAGAAAGATTCCAACTCAAAAAAAAAAAAAATTAACATATCAGAGTTTTAAGCACATCAGATGCCTAAAAAGTCAACTTTATAGCCCGACCAAGCAAAATCTTCCTAAGTACTTAACACACGTTTTAAAATTACATTCTACCATAGCCAATTTACTGTCTTTTTCTATACTTTTTTTTTTTTTTTTTTTTTTTGAGTTGGAGTCTCACTCTGTCGCCCAGACTGGAGTGCAGTGGCCACTCCCGGCCACCGCAGCCTCGACCTGCTGGGCTCTGGCGATCCTTCCGCCTCAGCCTTCAAAGTAGCCGGAATTACAGGCATGTGCTACCATGCCTGGCTGATTTTTTGGTTTATTATAGAGATGAAGTCTCACTGCCCAGGCGGGTCTCGAACCCGCGGGCTCAGGCAATCCACTCACCTCAGCCTCCCAAAGGCGTGGAATTACAGGCTGAGCCACCAAGCCCGGTTTTTTTTCTATACTTTTAATAATGAAATCTCTTTGGATAATTTTTGGAAAATGTTAATTATCTCAGGATCAAAAATGATTTTAACTTGTCTACCTTATGTTTTTCTGTTCTTTCTTAATTTTTTTTTTTTACAATGAACAGGTATCATTCTTATAATCAAAAGAGCCAACAAATGTACCTAAACACAAAAACCAATACACAGTATTATTAAAACAAATTCTCTTACTGTACTCTTTTTATGACCTTTTTCCACTGAAGAAAAACCTAAACAACAACAACAACAAAAATCCTTAGGAAACAATACAGTACTAAAAAGTGAGGTGTAGGGTGGGTGGCATGGTGGAGAAAAGAGGAACTGATAAATATGATTGTGAATACCGGCTTTTAAGTCAAGCAGGCAACTGATAGTATTTTTTCATTTGTTTGCAGGACAGCAAGAATCACTTGACAATTGGTTTGTTTGCATAATGGCATCTATAAACAAAACCAGTGAAATAGTTAAAAAACTTAAAGTAAACAAGCAATGTCTCCTGGAAGAAATAAACAAAAGACGTGAATCCAACTGCTTAGTGGAAGGAAGCAATCAAGTCAGCCTATTGAGAGTTCAAAAGAGGCACTTCAGGAGTACCTACCAGTCCTTCACTCATACCGCGATCAAAGAACCTGTTCCTGACAGTGGCAGGAACTCCTGGGTCAAACTGAGTCTCTTTGTTCACGTGGAGAAAAGACACTTTCCACCAAAAAGTAAGATATTATAGTCGAATTCCTATCCAGTTGATAGGAAGGATTTACAAGTAAACTTAGAAAAAATTTCTAGGGTTGAAAGAAGTTCTAAGAATTGCCCTGGGATAGTGTGAAGACAATCTATCTAAAGGTAAAGCATCATTAAACTTGGCTAGTTGACATACCATCTACTAATAGACCAGAGACTCTCATTTTCTTGTGCATACAAGAATGCCAGACCCCACCTTCAGACTGGCTTATTTAGTAGGCTCTAATTTGGGTCCTGGAATCTGCATTCTCAGCAGACAAAAGTGATGTTCTTGCTGATGGTGTAAGAACTACATTTTGAGAAAAGTTGTTAAAAGTGGGCCAGATGTGGTGGCTCATGCCTATAATCCCAGCACTTTGAGAGGCTGAGGCAGAAAGATTACTTGAGTCCAGGAGTTGGAGACCAGACTGGGCAACAAAGAGACCTTGTCTCTATGTAAAAAAAAAACAATATGTATGTAAAAATATAATAAAAATAAATAATAAAAATAATTAAAATTGACCAGAAAAACTTCAGAGGCCTGTTATCTCACGAATTTCTGTTACATTTCATGTAATTTCTTTTTTTTTTTTTTTGAGTTGGAGTCTCACTCGGTCACCCAGACTGGAGTGCAGTGGCCGCTCCAGGCCACCACAGCCTCGACCTGCTGGGCTCTGGCGATCCTTCCACCTCAGCCTTCCGAGAAGCTGGAATTACAGGCATGCGCTACCACGTCCGGCTGATTTTTTGATTTATTGTAGAGATGAGGTCTCGCTGCCAGGCAGGTCTTGAACCCGTGGGCTCAGGCAATCCACTCACCTCAGCTTCCCAAAGGCGCAGGATTACAGGCTGAGCCACCGAGCTCGGCTCATGTAATTTCTGTAAGCATTTTATGTGCAAAATTGAGGTACAATGAAAATGCTTTTGACGACAAACATCACACAAAAAAACATGAGAGAGTTCTAATAAAGGCCGGGCGTTGTGGCTCACGCCTATAATCCCAGCACTTTGGGAGGCCTAGGTGAGAGGATTGACTGAGTCCACAGATTCTAAACCAGCCTGGGCAACTTGCAAGACCTCATCTTTATAATAAACCAAGAAAAATTAGCCGGGAGTGATGGCACGTGCCTGTAGTCCCAGCCACTTGGAAGGCTAAGGAGGAACACTTGAGCCTAGCAGGTTGAGGCTGTGGTGGCTGTAAATGTGCCACTGCACTCCAGCCTGGGCGACAGAGTGAAACTCTGACTCAAAAAAAAAAAAAAGAAAAAAGAAGAAGCACTAATAAAATGTGAAGGGAGATTGAGAGACAGTGGCATGAAGGTAGTGTTATATTTTGCAGGGGGAAAAAGAGGAAATGGTGAATACCTTGATTGTGAGTACTTGTTTTTTAGTCAAGGCAGGCAACTGATAGAATTTTTCATTATTTGAAAAGAAAGGGTAGTGTGTAATCATATTTAATACAGTCAACAAATTATTTAAGTCAGAAACAAAAGAATTACCACATTGGAGATTTAACTTCTTTGATGTGGCTGTGACTTTACATTTGTCCAGAGCTCTTAGTAAGTGGTGTAAAGAGTGTGATATAGACTGGGCATGGTGGCTCAGCCTGTAATCCCAACACTTTGGGAGGCCGAGGTGAGAGGATTGCCTGAACCTGTGGGTTTGAGACCAGTCGGGACAACTTAGTGAGACCTCATCTTTACAATAAATCAAAAAATAAGCCAGGCATGGTAGCACTGGCCTGTAGTTCCAACTACTTGGAAGGCTAAGGTGGAAGAATCGCTTAAACCCAACAGGTCAAAGCTGCGATGGCCATGAGCATGCCACTTTACTCCAGCCTGGGCAACAGAGTGAGACTCCAACTTAAAAAAAAAAAAAACGAGTGTGACAGAGTGGAAACCCATTGTGAGTATGTGTGTGCTATTGTTGTTTTTAGAGATAGAGTCACTCTGCTGCCCAGGCTGGAGTGCAGTGGTGCAATCATAACTTGTTGCAGCCTTGAACTTCTGGACTCAAGTGATCCTTCTGCCTTAGCCTCCAAATAGCTGAGACTACGGGCATGTGCCACCCATACCTAGCCTCTCAATTGTGTTGTGAAGTTAATTTGTAATAGTCATGTGTTTATTTACTCAAAAAATAAGTCTTTTACTAGAAGGAATGCCTTTAGTGTTCCTAGGTCTAAAAGAAACTGCATAATCTTTTATTCTGGTTGAATTACTTGGAGCTAGATAAATCATAGCTAGTATGTCAATTCTCACAATTTAGATGGTAAAGGAAAAAAATGTGCCTTCTAGGATAAACAGTATACAACTTTACATGAAAACACATCCTTTTCTACAATACAGTATCTAATGAATATGATTTCAATAACCAGCATTCATGGAATCAAGGATATATGCCAACAATCTTAAATCATTAAAACAAATATTTTAGTATTGTAGAAGAACTCTTGGCTCCTTTTAAGTAAATAGACTTAAGGATAAACTCAGCTGTAGGATAAGATACAAAATAAGTACAGGCATACCTCACTTTATTTTTATTTTTGAATAAAGAAAAAAATTTGTTGTTGTTGTTGCCTAGACTAGAGCGCAGGGGCATGATCACCACACTGCAGCCTCAACCTACTAGGCTCAGGCGATCCTTCCACCTCAGCCTTCCAAGTAGCTGGAACCACAGGCGCACATCACCACACCCAGCTAATTTTTTTATTTATTGTAGAGACGAAGTCTTGCCATGCTGCCCAAGCTGGTCTTGCACCCCTGGGCTCAGGCAATCCTCTTGCCTCAGCCTTCCAAAGTGCTGGAATTACAGGCATGAGCCATCATGCCCAGCTATACCTCACTTTATTATGCTTAACTTTCTTGCAGATATTGTGATTTTTACAAATTGTAGGTTCCTGGCAACCCTTGTGTCCAGCAAGTGTTAGTGACATGTTTTCCAACAGCATGTGCTCATTTTGTGTCTGTTTCACATTTTGGTATTTCTTGTAACATTTCAAAGTTTTTCAATATTATTATATATTTTATAGTGATCTGTGATCAGTGATCTTTGATGTGCTAACTTATAAATCGTATAATTTATAAATTTGGAAAGGAGATTACTTTTAAACAGTTGCAGCCTGGGAAGCTTGCCTCTAGTCATAGCTATTAGTGGGCACTTTGAAGGAGGAGGGATTAGACAGGAATTTAGGCTGAAGGAGATGGCAAAGTATACATATTCAACAGGTTACAGGAGGAGTTGCAAATATTCATGAAAGTAACCCTGACTCATGTATGTTACACTCATGTTCACTTTGGGTAAAGACATAATATTTAAATGTATATGCTGGTATGGTGGTTTATGCTTGTAATCCCAGCACTTTGGGAAGAGAGAGAGAACAAGGAGAGAGAACAGCCTGAGCTCCGGAGTTCAAGACCAGCCTGGGCATCATGGTGAGACCTCATCTCTACAATAAATCAAAAAAACTAGCCGGGCGTGGTGTTGCGTGCCTCTAGTCCCAGTTACTGGGAAGGCTGAGATAGAAGGATCGCTTGAGCCCAGCAGGAGGCTGTGATGGTTGTGTTTGTGTCACTGCACTCCAACCTGGGCGACAGAGTGAGACTCCAACTCAAAATAAAAGTAAAAAAATAAATAAATGTATACAATTATACCCTATGCATCAAAAACACTCACGTGTACAGCCTCTGAAGCCTCTGTAAACCAGCCAGAACCAGTTCATAGTCAGTGGTCTTACAGGAAAATGTTTAAATCAGTCTCTTGTTCAATCAAAGCTGTAGCTAGGCTTATGGAACAGGATGGTCAATTAGTCAGAGTCTGGTGGTGAGTTTAACCTTTGGCTGGCATGGCCTTAGGTCTGTTCATAATTTGGTATCGCATTGCCACAAAGAGTCTGTTCTGTCAGTCTTATGGTCTATATTTTAACATTAATGCTGGTCCAGTTGTGTTTAAACCACAAAAGGCAAGGGGATAACTAGACATATCTGACTTTCTATCCTATCATGGCTGAGAACTCAGTTTATAGGTTTTTATGGGGTCCTTGGCCAAGAGGAGGTCTGTTCAGTGAGTTGGGGAGCTTAAAATTTCACTTTTACTTTTCAGATGTTACTATTGTAATAGTTTTGGGGGTGTCACAAGCTGCACCCACATAAGATGGCGAATGTAATCCATACACGTTGAATGTGTTCTGACTGCTGCATCAACTGGCTATTCCCCTGTCTCTTCCTCTCCTCAGGCCTCCCTATTCCCTGAGACACAACAGTTGTTGAAACGGGCCAATGAGTAATCCTACAATGACCGCTAAGTGCTCAAGTGAAAGAAAATAGTTGTACATCTCTCACTTTAAATCAAGATAGGAATAATTAAGCTTAGTGAGGAAAGTATGTTGTGCTAATTTTTTTTTTAAAGTATAAGACAGCTCTCTTCTGTCCTCTGAATGTTAAAGAACATCAAAGCTCAATACTGGAACCTCTTATTATTCTCTTGATGACCTCAATCTAGACAGCTATAGGACTTAACCTGTTACAGAACTTCAAATATCATCTCTATTCCAATGAGTCCATTTTCTGACTTTCTCCTGATTCCCAGACATGTGTATTAGGTTGCATATACCAGATTGCCACCCCTACTTGATGTTGTCTCAAATTTACCATTGCTAAAACAGAATTCCTATTCCCCATCCCCAAACACACTAACCCCCACCTCCACCCCAAAGTTCTAGGAGTCCCTTTGACTCCTCTTTCTTTCACATTCCACATTCAATCTGTTAGCAAGTCCTGTCAATTATTCCTTCAAAATCAATTTTGAATCTAACCACTGCTACCACCCTGCTTCCATCCATAGTTCTCACTCTCTGAAAGTACAACAGTGGCCTCCCGTCTACCCCCAGCTTCCACTCTTGCTGCCACCCACATTGTTGTGATCACACAAAAGCCTGAGTGATCTTTTAAAAACATACATCAGATATGTCCCTTGTTATTCAAAACTCACCTATGGTTTCATACCACACTTAGGATAAGATCCATGTTCTTGACCCTGTGCTTATTATAGGTCCTCCACAAACGGTCCCTACTTATCTTTTCAACCTCGTCTCCTCTACTCTCCTTGTCCTCATTCCACGTAGCCACTATGGCTTTCTTTCTGTGCCTGGGACATATCAAGCTGGTTCCCACCTCAGTGACTTGGCACATGCTGTTCCCTCTACCTGGATCTCTCTCTCTCTCCAAATTCTGTTCAAAGTCAATTCATCATAAACCACCCTAACTAAATAGCACTCTTCAACACTTTACAACCCCTTACCCAGCTTTCTTTTTCTCCATAGTGTTTATCACTCTAATGAACACTAAACTCCCTGAAAGCAGGGATGGTATCTGTTTTTTCACTGCTTTGTCTTCAGACCCTAGAATGATATCTGATACAAATTAGGCACTCAGGAAATGATTATTGGATGATTGAATAAATACTGGGAAATGGAATGCATATTTTCAAAAGTAGCGGTGGCTCTTACCTCATTCCTCTGGAGACAAACAGCCATGCCCTTGGGTGATGGTTCCCAAGCTTTAGAGTTCCTCATGACAACCTTTGTTGGTTCCTGTAAGATCATCTTTAGAAATGGAAGAGGTTCACTTCTCGAACTTTTGGCTAAGATCAAGTGTAGAAATGGAAGAGGATAATAAGATGCATTTTGCTGGATATATACAATAAGAATTAGAAGATACTCTACTATTTTCCTTTTTCACACCCTGTGTGAAAGGAAGAAACACTCATTTATTCTTCATTCATTCAACAAATATAAGTGCCAACTTTGTATCAGGCACTATTCTATGGGTTTGTCAATACAGCAGTGAATAAAATCCCTCCCTCAAAAAGCTTAGACACTATTGGGTAGAACCAGGTAAACAAGTTAAACATATAGATATATATGTCAGATAGCAATGAGTGCTAGGGGAAATGTAAAGCAGCAGGGTGGGGGATAGGAAGCGCTAGGGTGCTAGGTGGAGGAGTGCATTGCTCCCATAGAACTATATGGTGATCACTAGGGCATGAAGAATGACCTAGGACTCCTAGGCTTCTTGAGGTAGCCAGTGTAAACAGGAATAAGGGACAGAAGGAGATTAGGCCTGAAGGTCTAACCTGGTGCTGGGCTAACCTGGTAGAGAGGCCATTGAGGAGAAGGAATGTTAAGAATTTTGCTAAGAGTACTTGAAGGTCTAGGGGCTACTCTTTCTCCTATCAATCATGATATAAAGAACAGGGAGGGAGTTTTCTTAGCCAGAAATCTCCAACCTCTCTTTTCAGTCTTCCATCTGGAGATGTAGAGGCCAAAAGAGTGGCAGGGTTATACTAAACTATATAGCCTTAAAAATACTTGGGTTCAAGTTTCGCCTCTGGTACTAACTAGTTCTCATGCTTTTAATCATTTAGGATTTCTAAACCTTAGTTTCTGTATCTGGAAACAGTACTCTGCCCTCTAGAGTTATTTTGAAAAACATGAAATATAAGTTATACAACAAATGCTTTTTATTTTTTATTTTTCAGATAATGCCATATTTGGATAAAGTACATCTCCAGGGACACACAGAAATACATTCTCTCTGAACTTCTTCAGTGTTCGTCTTAATTATTTACAGATATTAATTATAAAAGAAGTTAAAATTATACACTGCATCCTTCAAAAACATTTAAAATTATGTAAACATACTGCAGCTTTATCCATTCATTCCGTCATTTAGACTGAGATGATTTCAAGAGAGGATTTGAGTTATTAAAGGTATTTCAAAGATGACTGACCTAAGAATTTATTTTACAGCGATTCTCTCTTTACTAATCTAAAATGTTTAAATATTAGTTTATGTTTGTTTCTATAAATCAGTAGAATATGTTGACCAACCCCACTGATCAGGCTGAAGGTTAAAGCTACATAAAGTTAACACTTACCTCTAAATGCTTAATTAGATTAACTTACTCTGTTAGAGATATGATTTTGATTATTTGAATAAGTACATATTTGAGAGGGTAATATAAGGTGCCTATAGATAGAGCTTTCTGTTATATTTCATCGCCCATTCCCAAAGTGGGTATTGCTAGAATCATCTCATGACCAAATCCTATTTGGTTGCTATCACCTCTCATTGCTTTTTGGATAGCAGTCTTTTCAAATTTAGCATATTCCATATGGCAAGCAGAACACTGCCTGATCTGGAAACCAGAACTTCTTGGCATTTGTCTTTACATCAGTAAAATATCTACCTTTTATTTGGTTGCCCTCTGCCTCCATAGAAGGCTTAGATTCATACAAAGCCAAAGCACTCTGATGTTGGAAGGGATATGGATAAGTCAGCTAGCCTAAAACCCTACATCAGCTAGGACTGCAATGGGGCACAGTGTGGAGATTAATCAACTATGAGGGTATGCAGAAAAAAAGCCAGAACTAAATACAAATTTTTTCACCTTTAAATTTTTTATTTTAAAATTGTGGGGTACAATTCAGGGTTAGGTATACAAATATTCATTGTGCAGTTACCTTTGTTGATGAGGTGTGCCCCCCCTTCCCCAGGCAGTTTTCCACTACTGCCAATCCCACCTCCTCCCACCACCACATGCTCCCGCAGTTTCCTGCTACTGTCAATCCTTTTCTTATAATATTACGATAGTTGTTCAAGGTCCACTTATGAGTGAGAACATGTGATACTCAGTTCTTTTTTTCTGTGAAAGATCACTCAGTATTATAGACTCTAAGTCCATCCAGGTTGCTGCAAAGTTCTAAAACCGATTTTTTACTTCTTAAAAAACAAATACCTAGCCAGGGGGCAGGGTTATGAGCCTGTAATCCTAGCTACTCTGGAGGCTAAGGCTGGAGGATTGCCTGAGCCTAAGAGTTTGAGGCTGCAGCATGCTATGATCTGGCCCGTGAATAACCACTCTTATAACTTGGGAAATATAGCAAGACTCCCTCTCTTATAAGAAAAAAAAAAGGCAAATACCTAGTGTCAAGAAATGCTAAGTGTTATCCTGCTACAGTTTCATAGGCACCAACAGAAGACAAGAGACTCCTGGTTCAGAAGCAAAGGACTTAATTGCTTAGAGCACAGCAAGGAACACAGCCTCATGTTCAGGTTGGCTCCCCTTGCCCTCCTCTACCCCCTCAAGACCCACCAGACAAAGTGAAGCTGGCCAGATGTCACACATACAGAGGTTTTGCCTCATAGCTGAGGAATCCTGAGCTTAAGAATTCCAACGTTTGCCCAGAGGAAGACATTATTTCTTTATTATACTGGATTGTAAGTGGACCCAATCTCTGCTGCAGAAAGAGACACTATCTGTATCTCCCAAAGAGATAATCTCGAACAAAGGCTGTCAGTGCCTCTGCTCCCTAGATGTCCACAAACATGAGAGCCCTGTGGAGAATTATCTCCCCACACTTAGCAGCACAAATAAAGACTTAAAATATAGTATTATATCTTTGGCTTAAGCTAAGATGAATCATAGGAGATAAACACATAGTGAGTGTCAGGTTATGGACAGGACAATTAACAACCTCCCTAACCTCAGTTCACTCTAATCCTATTCTCCTTTCTCCCCTAGGCACCTCTGTAAACTACTTTCAACTCTCTGAACTTGTCTTATCCTGTTACCTCCCCTTCATCTAACTCCAATTTGTGCAAGATTTCATTTAAATACCACCTCCTTCTGGAAGATTTTCCTCCTCCCTCCCTCCACTTAATTAGGCATTTTTACTTTGTCCTCCTCTATATGATAATCTCGGGCTAAAACCAGAGACTCAAAAGTCACAAAACAATACATATTTTGGACTCTGACCCTACCTGAAATGGCAGGAAGTTCAGCCACACTCTTCAAGGAGTGTTTCACATCCGTTGGTACACATGTTCCCTCAGTAATGCTAAGTGACATGTTTTCCTCCTTTTCTGCTCTGGTCTCATGCAGAGTCCAAAGGCAGTGAACTCTTCTTGCTTGGGGAGGTCAGACTTTTTCAATTTAGGCCTTCAACTGATTAGATAAAGCCCACCCACTTTATGAAGGATAATCTGTTTTATTCACAGTTCACTGATTTAAATGTTCATCTAATTTAAAACATACCTTCACGCTGAGGCAGAAGGATCGCTGGAGCCCAGCAGGTCAATGCTGGGGTGGCCACGAGTGTGGCCACTGCACTCCAGCCTGGACGACAGAGTGAGACTCCAACTCAAAAATAAAATAAAATAAAACATACCTTCACAGAAATATTTAGAATAATGTTTAACCAAACATCTGGGTACTGTGTTACGGCCAAGTTGATACATAAAATTAACCACCACAGACGTTGTCCTCCAAGATAAGCCTTTCCCTGCTGGGTTTCTCTGGCATCTGGAGAATCCAGGCCAATGCCCAAGATTCGGTTTCCCACTCTCTGAATTCCATTGAAATGGATCTGGTGGACTCTGGCCCTCCACATATCCTTTAGAACCAGACATGAGTAAAGGGAACCCCACAAGAAATCTATTGTCCTCAGCTCTAGCAGGTGGCTTGGGAAACTCAGGGGGAAACCTTAGTCGGCTTTTGAAGAAATTTAGTAAAGAGCAAGACTGGTTGGCACTCTGGAGAAATTGTAAGAAATTTGCTGTTTCATTAAGAATTTTAGCTATTTCAATGAAGCTTTCAGATTCCTTAACTTATGTAACAACAAATGCTTCCAAATGGGCCCAACACAAGCAACTTAGAGGAAGCAGAAACGGTATTTGCATGTAGAGTCCATTTGTGGGAAGCTACTGATTTCAGAAGGCCCCTGTTAAAAACAACTTCCCCTGATCATATATGTTCATCAGTCCAGTAAATTTGTTTGGTGACAGTATTGTATTGACAAGCTTTGTTGTGGTGGCAGGGGTAGCTGTGTGACATACCCCAAATCTAAAGAGAAACCTTGGGAAAGAGGGTAAGTGGAGATCTCTTGTGAACTTTGGGGATTGGGAGAATTTCCCCTAGGACTTGTTTTGTAAGGGTTTCTGGGATACAACTTCACAGATCCTTTGTCTGATTCCAACAGGTGTATTCTATGTGATTATATTAATTCCTGACTTTTCTTCTAATTTCCCAGCAAAAATTCTTTTTTAACCAAAGGACTATTAAGTAGGCAATGAATTATGGCTGCTTATGAATTACAAGACATAACCACCCCTCAGAGTGAATGCTTCAATATCATCTCTGGGGTTGACGTTGAACAATCCCTGGCAAATTCACTGTTCTTTCTTCCCTATCCCGACATCTTAAAATCAGGGGATGAGGCCCGAAATTAACTCCAAGGTGACAAAAAAGGAACGAGGTCTCAAAGTACACATGAAAGTGAAAGGGAGGGAAAGTTTTGAACTAGGAGATGGTGGAGTTTTATGGACTGTAGTTTGCCTACTATATCAGGGTTCTTAGTATCAAGCAACAGAAAACAACTTTGAGTAATTTAAGCAGACAGAAACTTATTAAATGTATTGGGTAACTCACACAATCTCCAAGAGGCCAGAAAACCAAGTTTGTAGGTTACAGAGCTAGGAACAGTGAGCAAAATCAGGCCACAAGGCAGGTCAGCGAAAACTCACTGCCTTGGGACACTTGATACGACTACCAAGATCAATGTCACCATTGCCTCGAAAATGGGTGCAGCTGCCACTTCCCATAGCAACACAAAGTCCATACGGTTGGTTTCTTTACATTCCTGGCTTCTGATTTGAAATCTGGGGTGGGTACCTCTGATTGTTGGAATTTTAGTCATGTATTTGTCATGGAAGTAAGAAATGCCGAGAAAGCAAATTTTTGGCAATTTTAGTTCCTAGAGTAGAGGATGGGCTCTGCCTCAAAGCGAGGGATTCCTCAAATGTAAGAAAAGTGGACAGGAAAAAAAAAAAAGAAATGTTCATTGCAGTGTATACTTTGGGCTGCCCCCAAATCAACACAGACCTTCTTGCCATATGAATGTCTTTCTGAAATGCTTTTACAAGTTTAATCACCATCTGCTAGGTGCTTCCAATGTCTCATCCTTTAAATTAACTGGAGACTTTCCAGGCTACATAACCAGTCCTAGATTTCCCTCTTTTCCTTCATTTCTCTAAGGGTCTTTTGATGACTGCTTCAAGGTATCAATTTTCTCATTGATCAGGGTTCTTAAAAATAAGCCACAGAAATGAAATTTGGTCAATTTAAGCAGAAAAGGAGACTACTGAAGTATATCTGAAGGTTAATAAAATCTCAAGGAAGGCTGGAAAAAAAAAAAACAACTCATGCCACTGAACTAGAACCATAAGACTTCACTGCCACAAGCACTGGCATAGACTGCTTTCACTAAAATCCCTGCCACACTGTCCACCCTTGTCAGCATGGAGTCAGCTCGGTCCTGGCTTCTTTAAAAGTGCCCTGTTTACAAGAGAGGCTGGAAAGTGAATGCCTGGCAGTTCTAACTTCTCTAGTGGGAAGCAGGTTCTGTTTGATAAGTTGAGAGATTCCCCAGCAAAGAAGGGTATTCATGACTATATTTTCTATATTAAACTACTGAACTGGGAAATAAAAAGTTATTTGTACCACTTTTAATACCTAAGGTATAAATACTACTCAGATTGTTCATAAATTACAGGGATGCTTATCAAAGAAGTCACCTTTTGTGGAGATATGATTGTTTTGGAATTAACCAAAAAGAAGGAGACTGGGAGGACCTACTAAGAATGTTTTTGTTTGGAGTCCTGTGTTTAAACTTGTTGCACTAGTAATCCCCAAGGAGTTATCTCCTCTCTTTTCATTTTATCTTTTTGACTGACTTTGTTATTTTTAGCATAGACTTTGTCATAATTTTAAAAGCGAGAATTGCTCATGGTTGAAAAGCTAAGCTCTAACAAACATAGAGCAATCTCTGAAAATTTTTCTAAGTTACTCATCTCCTGTAAATGAAATGTCAATTCACACATGCTGCTTTGAAGTATCAGTCAAAAGCACAAAAGGGGAAAAAAGGGCAAAGGCAATGAATTCAACTCTGTAGTGTGAGTGTTGCTCAACCACGCAAAAACAAGATTCTACTGCATGTTTAGTTTAGAAGGGGGGCCTGGGAGAGGGAAAGGAATTGTGCAGCAGCTAGGTAAGGGCAGGATTATGACAGGAATGTGGTGAGCAAAAGAAAGAGAGCAAGCAGCAGAATGAGAAAATGAATTCTTAGTTGCATAATGAGAGGAAAGAGCTGATGATATCTATTTTTTTTTCTTTAAAGAATGATTCAATTTAGTTTGATTCTTAATTTTAAAAAAAGACAAGCTGGAATAAGAACCATTTCTTTTGGTAAGAAAAGTCACCATATGCTAGGTCAGGCGGAGGTGGGGGGAGCCCTTTTTGTCATTCAGCTGAGTGGGCAGGGTGTTCCTATAAAACTAATTCTCAGCCAAGAGACTTTTACTCCTATTTTTCAGAATGGTTCAACATTCTAAAATCTCTGAATGGTATTTAGTACATTTATAGGCTAAAAGAGAAAAATGTATATCTCAAAAAATGATAAAAAGGTATTTAAAATTCAACATCCATTCCAAAGAAGTTGAAAAATAAAATATCTGACTTCTCAATTACAGTCAAACTTACTGCTTCCATTCACCTACTTTAAAAATATTTGAGAGCATATGATATTGCAGACCTCATTTCAGGCGACACAGAAGATGCAAAACCAAAAAGAACTGGTTTGTTCTCAAAAGGTTTGCAATCTTTAAAGGTGAAAAAACACACAAGGTAGTTAGAGTGAAAACGATTATGTGGTGTTATCAGATCGGTTTTTAGTACTTTGTTCCTATTACTTGTATAGCACTCCTCACATTCCTTTGTTTACTTGGCCATCTCCTTTATGGACCTGAGGGCAAAGACCATATCTTATTCCTCTCTGTAACCTATGGATCTAGACTAGTGGGCGGCCAATAGAAGGGACTCAGTAACTGTTTATGAAGTAGCTAAAACAAACAAATGGATGAAGAAATGAAGAAAACAACTAAACAATAGAGGGGAGCAGTCACGTCCAGCTAGAGCAATCAGGAAAGATGGGGTAATTTAAGTTGAACTTTAAAGCATAAAGAGAGTTTGGCAAAGAGAATGTGGCAGGCAATAAGGGAAAGAAATGCAGAGTTGAAAGACAGCTTAGATGTCTAGTCTTACTATAACCTCCTGTTAAATATAGGAACTTTGTCTATAATGATGCTGATGGTTAGGTAAATACCTCATAAGGCACCATATTCTCTGTTTCTTAGCTAGTCTTTTTTGGACAATCTGTCCTAGCATTGGTTTTAATTTCTCTATAAGTGAATTCATTTGGAAGTATTTCTTTAAGATATATGAGGTTAAATCACTTTGATTTAGCAAGAAGATTTTTTTCTATGACAGGTACTTTACCCAGCATTTTCCATTTATATAATTTAACAAAATTAAATAACCAGGTGTTCATATTGATCACAACACTGGCAAAATACACCTAACATAAAATTTATCATCTTAATCATTTTTAAATATACACTTCAGCGGCATTAAGCACATTCACAAATCACCACCAGCTATCTACAGAGTTGTTTTTACACCTAAGATTTTTATTTATTTTTTTTTAGAGAATGGGGTCTCTCGTTATGCTATGTTGTCCAGGCTGGACTCAAACTCCTGGGTTCAAGTGATCTTCCTGCCTCAGCTTCCCAAAGTACTAGGATTACAGGTGTGAGTCACTGTGCCTGGTCCAGTTCAGATTCTCAATCAGAACATTTCTTTTACTCAAAAGCTGCCCCCTGAGTTGATCTGGTTTTACAATGGATGGTTTGAAAGCTAATTCAGGAGCAGGTGTTGAAGTTTAGGAAACAGTTTGAATGCATTTTGTGTCGTCACTTCTATAACTTCTTCCAGTGAGATCCCTTTCACCTGGGCAATATATTCTGCTGAAATGGAAATGTTCTTGGGCTCATTCCGTACCTGAAATAGAACAAAGTAGACACTAGGTCAAGAAGACTCTCAAAGGAAGAGGATCCTTGGCGACTATAGATAAAACAGAAAAAAATGAGTTGGTAAAAACAATTGATGATTCTCTTCTTTTTTATAAAGGGACGAGAACTTGGGGGGTAGGTTTGGCTATGATGTTGATTATAAGTCTATGGTGCTCCTGAAAAGAACCCCAGGGTATTAACAATTGAGACCCCTCTCTCCAAGCATATGATGTGGTTAACAAATAGTGAACACCTAGTGATCCGACTGACTGATGGATTAACTGTCCTTGGTTTATTGTTAAAGTGAATGCTTGTAAAGGTCACTGTTCTGCTGCTCAGTCCCTTACTGCACAAGCTACATGACAGTTTGATTCAAGAATGCTATTATGTGCTAAAAAGACTAAACAGATTGTGTACTGGTATTTTATTGTGGTATTTCTAATACAGATTTTCCCCTAGTTTAACATCTCTGAGTTTGATACAGTATATTTTCCTTACATTCAGTGACATGTCATAGAATAACTGGCAGTGTTCTTTCTTTCTTAATGGTCATAAAACAATGCTAAAAAAATAGTGCATCTACATTTAGATTTGATGAAATATATTATTAATAGTAAGTATCTACTCAGGATGACAATGTTCAGAAGAATAAGATTACTAAGGTTTAAGAAAACCTTTGATAATATAGCCTAACAAAACAATAAAAAATGTGCACAAAGATTTAGGTTCAAGGGTGTTGATCATATTGTTTATAATACAACTTAGATGATCAACATTAAATATATTATGGTATACTCACACACTGGAATACTATGCAATTATTAGACATGGGGAAGAAAAGTATATTTATTAATTCATAGAAAGTTTTACTACATAAAAGCCAGTTATAAAATAATGTGTTCTCATTAATTCTACTCTTATAAAATATATGTACGTACATATATGGATATAAAAAAGTATGGAAGGACATAAAAACTTTTATTTACTTAGGGCTTTCTGTAGACAAGGCACTGTTCTAAGCTTTTCATGGAATTTCTCCCTTGATCTTCAAAATAACTCTATGAGATAGGTACTATTATTATTAGCATCCCTTTTTTTTATAGATAAGAAAGGATCCTAAACAGCTAGTAAGCAGCCTGGCTGAGGTTTCAACCCAAGCAACCTAACTTCAGAGTTTATGCTCTTAGCTACTATGTTATAGTGTTAACCTTTGGGTGTAGATGGTTTATTTAATTGCTTATGATTTTCTGTATTTTATAACTTTCTAGAACAAACATATTTTAACAAAAAGCACACCTGGCTTAAAAAAGGTTCATTTATTCAATAAATATCTATTAAGCGCAGGTTGAGTATCCTTTATCCAAAATGTTTGCACCAGAAGTGTTTTGGAATTTAAATTTTGGAATATTTGCATATACATAATGAGATATCTTGGGAATGGAACCCAAGTCTAAACATGAAATTCACTTATGATTCATAAATACGTAGAGCCTGAAGGTAACTTTATACAATATTTTAAATAATCTTGTGCAGGAAACGAAGTTTGTGTTATAAACTTATTTGTGGAATTTTCCATTTGTGTTAGCAGATTGATGCTCAAAAAGTTTCAGATTTTGGAGCATTTCAGATTAGGAATGTTCAACCTGCACCTACTTGCACAAGGCACTATGCCAGAAACTCACAATTTTTGTCAAATCAACTCAATACAAATATAGTTACAACAACACTCAAAGTTTATTCCTGTTTGGAGAGACAAACGCTACATTCCCTTCCTTCCGTTTTACACTAATCCATAAGGCAATTCTGCAGCATTCTGTCCTATATCCAAATAGAAAAAACTGGAGTTGTATCCTCTACTTTTTCATTCCTATGTCTTTTATATTCTTATAAAAGCTTATTAATAAAAGGTATGTAATTATGGATGTGGAGGCTTATGCCTATAAATCCTAGCTACTTGGGAGGCTGAGGGAGGAGGATCACTTGAAGTTTGGAGTTCAGCCTGGGCAACATATGAGACTCTATCTCTAAAATAAAATTGAAAAAATTATGCAATTCATTGGGCATCAATTAGCAAAATTCACACTGCAATCACAAATAATCATAGTTTGTTAATAATCACATAATAATCACTACTGCTCCCAAACCTTTAAATTTTGAATGCCAGTCCTCTGAATTTGGTGGGCAAGAAAACACAGATCTGATGGGCAGTCAGAGGCACATTAAATTGCATATTGGAAGGTCATAACAGGTACTGTCTAATGTAAATAAAGGAGATACTGTGGCTTCCTTTCAGAAAATTATAATTCAAAATAGTAGCAGTATAAAAGAGTATGAAATTTAAAATATGACTCTTTCTGGCCGACAATAACAAAACTAGACACTATAACAAAGAACACATAAATCTATGACTATCTCAATACCTGTGCTGAAAGAAATAGGACCTCATTATAACATACTAATTAAAAGAAGAAAAATAAACACCCACTACATACCAGACACTGCTAGCCACTTTCATATACATTACTCCATGTAATCCTCACCATAATCCTTTAAAGTATTTTAATATTTTACCCATTTTTTTAAATAAAAAAAAGTTTCAGAGAGATTAAGTAGCTTGCCAGAAGTCAGCTAGTGGGTAACAGAGAGGATCTGAATCTAAGTTTTTCTGACTGCAGGCAATGTGCTTTTTATACTATACTGGACTGACTCACATTATTACATAAATTAGGGCAAAATCCAGATCAAATAATATTCTCTCAAACACAAAAGTTACACTTATACAAGATCTGAAAAAAAGTTATATAACCCTTCAACCTAGCATATAATAGGATTCCATAGTGTTTATACTACAATGAGAAACACAGCTAAACTGAAAATAGCTAAAATGAAAGATAACAATCTAAGTATAGTAGAAATTCACCTGTTTTTCTGGTCCTAGTGCAGGTGAATCTGTTTCTAAGCATATAGACGTTAAAGGCAACTGTTTCACAAGTTTCTGCTTCTGAGAGAAAACAGAAAGTTGGTAAATTTAAAACATTAGAAATAAAGATAAAATAGGGAGCATTAAACCTACATGCTAATGCATCTTATTCTGCAAGAACTTAAAATTTATGCTTTAATATTCAATTGACAAATGCTACCTGAATGCCTACTATGTTCTCATCAATCCACTACTAACAGTAATGTTAAAATAGAAACACTCATTGCCACAAATTATCCAAAGTTTCCAGAAAAATCAAAGAATAATCATAGCAAAAATGAAGGACACCAAGAAAGAAATCCAAACATTTGTTATCACATGCCCACTGAAAGAACCAAGGAAGTGATTTCTGTTGCTTCTCTACCATACTGTGCTCGGTGTTTCTTTCTATAATCATTTTAAAGCACTCAAGGTGGTTGTGCTTGGTGGCTCAGCCTGTAATCCCAGCACTTTAGGAGGCCAAGGAGAGTGGATTGCCCAAGCCCGCAGGTTCGAGACCAGCCCCGGCAACTTGGTGAGACTTCATCTCTATGATAAATCAAAGACTTAGCCAGGCGTGGTAGCATGTGCCTGTATTTTCGGCTACTTGGAGGGTTGAGGCGTGAGGATTGTTGGAGCCCAGCAGGTCAATGCTGGGATGGTGGTAAATGTGCCACTGTACTCCAGCTTGGGCAATGGAGTAAGGCACCAACTTAAAAAATAAAAAATAAAACACTCAAAGTTTTATGTTTATAAAGCTAAAGTTCTCATGCATATTTAAATTTTAGATTGGGTGACAGATTTATTTTCTTGTTTATGATTTTCTGTGGGTAGACTGTATGGACTGAAATTAATGTTTTATGCCAAGAGCACAATTCTCTTACTACCATAGCAATTAAAATAAAAAACAGGAAGGGGACAAATGATGCACAGCGAAACATTATAGAAATAAATTATCTAAGATTAAAATTTCAAAAACACAGAGATGAGTATTCTCATGCACTGTTTGCAGATAAAGATTAAACTGGCATATAATTCCTTGAAGGAAATGTGATAATTTATACCAAAATTTTTAAAATGTGTAACTTTTTACTCAGTGGTTCCATTTATAGGAGATAATTGGACAAGTGTGCATATGTTTTTGGGGATGAACAAAGGTACTCATGGAAATACTGTTTATAAGAGTGAAAAACTGGTAACAGCCTACCCTTATTTATGGTAATGCTTAAATGCACAGTACATACACACTGTGAAATACTATGCATTCATTATAAAAGATGAGGTAGACACAAATAGGTGCTGATAGAGCAGAATCAAAATAAAAAAGTGACAAATGCCCTTAGTTCATCTAAATTAATGTTAATAATAGTTCTCTGGTGGGATTTGGGTTGACTTGAAATTTGTTCTTTCTTTTCTTAACTGTTTTAATTTTCTACAATGTACAAATATCTTTAAAACTAGGGAAAAAAGCACTTCAGTTTTGGGAAAGAAACAGTGCCACAGCTAAACACTACTACTAAATAAAAAATTTCTCTGCAAATGATAAAGGCAGCAAAAATAAAATAAATCTTAGACTATCAACTAACTTGACCTAATTGACACTTATAGAATACTCCAACAATAGAAGAATACATATTCCTTTTAATTCACCAATATAGACCACATTCTGGGCTATTAAACAAAAGTCAACTAATTTAAAAGAATTAAAATCATATAATGTCTGTTATCTGAACACAATGGTATTAAGGTAGAAATTATTAATAGAAAGATACCAGGAAAACTCCGAAGAATGTAGAAATTAAAAAACATACTTCTAAATAATCCTTATGATCAAAGGATGTCACAAGGTAAATCAGAAAATATTTTGAATATTAAATATTAAAAAGTGAAAACATAGCATATCAAAATTTGTGAAGTGCAGCTAAAGCAGTGGTGAAAGGGATATTTGTAGCATTAAGTGTTTATGTTAGAAAACAAGAAAGTTTTCAAATAAATAATCTAAGATTCCACACTAAGAAACTATAAAAAGGATTATTGTATCATGACTAAGTAGAATTCACCTTAAGAACACAAAGTTGGTCCATTAGAAAATCAATCCATGACGGGGAGACATCCCTTATCAACAAGGGTGCCTGAACGAAGCATATTTGTATACCTAACCCTTAACTGTACCCCACAATATCAAAATAAAAAATATTGATATAAAAAAAGAAAATCAATCCATGTAATTCACAACAATAATAGGTCAAAAAAAGAAAAAATATATGATTATCTCAGTAGATACAGAAAAAGCATTTGGAAAAAAGCTAATGTTCATTCCTGATATAAAAAAACAAAATAAAAAAACACTCCCAGCAAACTAGAAACAGAAGGAATTTCCTTAACCTGATAAAGGGCATCTATGAAAACCTACAGCTAGTATTATACATAATGGTAAAATCATGACCTTGGGTTAGACATATTTCTTAGATACAACACCAAAAGCACAAACCTTAAAATAAAAATATTGGTAAACTGAAGTTCATCAAAATCAAAGACTTCTGATTTTTGAAACACAGTTGAGAAAAATGCTAGAAGAAGATACCTGCAAAGAACAGAGTACATGAAGGACTTGTATTCAAAATATACAAAGAACTCAAGAAGGCAAATGAAAGTCACAGAGCAATGACTACACATGTATTAAAATGGCTAAAATTAGAAGAAAAAAAATACCTCCAAGGATGCAGTATGAACACTGAATGCTGCTGGTAGAAATTTAAAATGGTATAGTCAGCCAGGCTCGGTGGCTCAGCCTGTAATCCCGAGCCTTGGGAGGCTGAGGTGAGTGAATTGCCCGTGGGTTCGAGACCAGCCTGGGCAACTTGGCGAGACCTCATCTCTACAATAAATCAAAAATCAGCCGGGCATGGTAGCGCGTGCTTGTAGTTCCAGCTACTTGGTAGGCTGAGGCGGAAGGATCACCGGAGCCCAGCAGGTCGAGGCTGCGGTGGCCGGGAGCAGCCACTGCACTCCAGTCTGGGCGACAGAGTGAGACTCCGACTCAAAAAATAAATAAATTAATTAAAAAAAATGGTACAGTCACTTTGGAAATCAGTTTGACAGTTTCTTATGAAGGTAAACATACACTTATTTTATGGCTCAGCAATACCACTCCTAGGTATCAACACAACATCAATGAAAACATTTGTCACACAAAGACATGTACATGAATGTTTATAGCAGGTCTATTCATAATACTCCCAAACTGGAAATGACTCAACTGTCTATTTACTGGTAAACAGATAAACTGTGGTACATCACATATATATTACTCAGCAATCAAAATAAATGGACTACTTACACATGCAACAACATGGCCAATCCATAAGTACTAACTAAAAGAAACCAGACCCCACACAATATACGTAAATGATTTCATGTATATGTCATCTAGAAGAGGCAAAACTATAAGGACAGAAATCAGATTAGTGGCTGCCAGAGACACGGGGTGGAAGGAGGGGACTGATTAGAAAGGTACAAGAGGGCCGGGCGTGGTGGCTCACACCTGTAATCCCAGCACTTTTGGAGGCGGAGGTGAAAGGACTGCCTGAGCCCAGGGGTTCAAGACCAGCCTAGTTAACTTAGTGGAGACTTCATCTCTACAATTAAAAAAAAAAAAGAAAAGAAAGGTGCATGAAGCAACTTTTCGGAATAATGGAAATATTCTACATCTTGAATGTGGTGGTAGTTGACAGTGGGGTGGCTGTGAGTATGCTACTGTACTCCAGCCTGAGCGACAGCGTGGGACTGTAACTCAAAAAAAATTAAAAACTCTTACTTTTTTACTGTGGAAATTTAAAATTTTGGTGATGTCCAATTTATCTATTTTTTTCTTTGGTTGCTTGTGCTTTTGATGTCATATCTAAGAAGTCAGTGCCTAATCAAAGGTCAAGAAGATCAAGACTTGTAAGCATTTTATTTTAGTTTTTGCTTTTAGGATTTTGATCCATTTCTGAGTTAATTTTTATACATGTATGACATGGAAATCTAAAATTAATTTTGTAGTGTAACTAGAGTAGTACTATAAGTATGTATAAATGCTCATATTTTAAATTGTATTTCACAAAGTCTTAGATGAGTTTTTTTTTTTTTTGAGTTGGAGTCTCACTCTGTCACCCAGACTGGAGTGCAGTGGCTGCTCCTGGCCATCGCAGCCTCGACCTGCTGGGCTCCGGCTGATTTTTTGTAGAGATGAAGTCTTGCCAAGTTGCCCAGGCGGGTCTCGAACCCTCAGTCTCAGGCAATCCACTCACCTCAGCCTCCCAAGGCACGGGATTACAGGGTGAGCCACCAAGCCCGGTTTTAGATGAGTTTTAATGAAAGAATTTACCTGTCCACTTCTTATGATGGAAGGGGGAATTGAGAAGAAGTACCCAGCTCTCACTCCTTCCATGGCTATCGATGGCCGACCATCAAATGCATGCAGCAGTACTTTATCAGCACCTCTCGAAAATTCAAGACAAACCAGAGTTCCATTTTAGTTCTTTAATAAGAGATTTTTCCTATCAATCAAATTAAACAACAGAGATCTGAAATTTTAAGTATATGTTGGTCACAATGCTATAAAGATGAGAGTCTATGACTCCTAAAGGGTAGATAACTGTATAGTACTCAAAAGAGTAGAATAAAAATATAGTAATTTTTTATTCTTCAGAAAAAAATTATTAAAATGAAATTCAATTTTTAAAACAATTACTTAAATTTCCTACACCATCAGACCTTTTCTAGAAGTCTGTAAGCTGTCAGATTATTGTTCCTAATAAGAGGTTTTTAGGTAGTCAAATTGATTTTCCTAACAAAAATCCTATGAAAGAAAAAAAGAGCAAAATGACTCACAGATTCAACAGGCAGAGTTAGATTCATAAAACCACATCCAGTTCTTAAAGGATAGCTGCTCAGCAACATAAAAATCATGCTTTCAGTGATTCAGAAAAGTTCAGTATTCATCACTGAGAAATACAATGCTTTCTAGTTGTAAGCAATTACATTTACTTCAACTATTTGACAGTGTTTTTTCAAACAGTAGGTGTGACCAATAATGGATTATGACCATAAATGAGTTATGAAATCAATTTAGTAGGTCACAACCAATCACTATATGCTTATATGTGTGTGTAACTCACACCCTCATACATACCTATACACACTACACATATATGGACTGCTTGTTAAACTTCTGCTAATTTTCTTTATGTGCATATGAGTCTTAAACTATATTGCTTACTGTGGATGGCACTTTTAACAGGTTGAAAAATCACAGTGTAAGATATATTTTTATTTTAGGAATAGCTGGTAAAGATGACAGTGCACTTTAGGTGTGACGCCACAATCTGTATAACATCATTTTCTGAAGCAACAGCCAGAAAACATAGAAAACAATGAGCCAATGTGAAGGCTGTATGATTGGCCATCTTTTATCTTGTTTTCCTCCCTCTTCCTTGTTTAAAATTAGGGAATATAAATTATTTAATTCATTTTTTTTTTCTAGGCAGAGTCTCACTGTGCTACCCAGGCTAGAGTGCAGCGGCATAATTGTGGCTCACTGCAGTCTTCATCATCTGGGTTCAGGCAATTCTTCTGCTTCAGCCTTTCATGTAACTGGGACCACCGGTGCACACCACCACACCTGGCTACATTAAAAAATTTTTTTTTTGTAGACATGAGTTCTTGCTGTGTTTCACAGGCTGGTCTCGAACTCCTGGGTTTAAGCAATCCTCCCACAGTCCTGGAATTATAGGTATGAGTCACTGTCCCTGGCCTTAATTCAATTTTTAATTTACTCTTTCCTGGTCTGATAAATATTATAATTGCACTGAAAATCTTGTAAGCAATAGTCTGACTTACAAAATCATTCTAGATTATTTCCATCTTTACTTTTGCCCTTGTCCTTGACTTTAAGAAATCAGATTGCCAAGCTCGGTGGCTCAGCCTGTAATCCCGCGCCTTTGGGAGGCTGAGGTGAGTGGATTGCCTGAGCCCGCAGGTTCGAGACCCACCTGGGTAGCGAGACCTCATCTCTACAATAAATCAAAAAATCAGCAGGGTGTGGTAGCGCATGCCTGTAATTTCAGCTACTTGGAAGGCTGAGGCGGAAGGATCGTCAAGGCTGTGGTGGCCGGGATTAGCCAGTCTGGGCAACAGAGTGAGACTCCAACTCAAAAAAAAAAAAAAAAAAAAGAAAGAAATCAGATTAAGGCCAGGCATGGTGGCTCATGCCTATAATCTCAGCACTTTGGGAGGGTCGAGGTAAGAGGAATGCCTGAGCTCATGGATTCAAGACTAGCCCGGGCAACTTGGCAAGACCTCATCTCTACAATAAATCAAAAAATTAGCTGAGTGTCGTGGCGCATGCCTGTAGTTCTAGCTACTTGGAAGGCTGAGGCAGAAGGACTGCCTTAACCCAGCAGGTCGAGGCTGTGATGGCTATGAGTATGCCACTATACTGCAGCCTGGGCAACAGAGTGAGGCTTCAACTCAAAAAGAAAAAAAAAAACCCCAAAAACAAAGAAATCAGATTAAAACATGGTTTGTTTTACAAGAATATGGACTGGAATTGTCAAACTTGAAAATTAGGCACAGTTCTCTCAGGAACCGAAATACCTTGCTCACGTAAGAGGTTGATGGTAGGTCTTCCAGCAGAGCGTGAGTGAACATTTCTGTTTAACAACAACAAAATTCCTTTTAAGTACCAATCTGAAAGTATTATTTTGTTTTATTAAAGTAATTCAGAGAAAAATAAATGTAGAGCTCCATTTCAGGAGGACTCTGATCATTATTTAACTTGTTCTATAGCTACTAACATAAGAAAAAAATGAATTCACTTACAATGGCAAATTTAATCTTTTGGCTAGTTGGACCTGTCTGATTAGGACTTCTCTTTGCTCTTCCTTCTGTTCACCAGTGCCAGCAAATCTGGGGGAGAAATCTAGCCCAACCTACAACAAATATAAAAGATATTACATATTTATGGTTTGATAAAGCCGAAAAGAGATACTACAGATCAGTGCTGTCCAACAGAAATATAATGTGAGCCACATAAAAATATTAACACCTGATTCCAGTGGTCACATTAAAATTATTAACAAAACAGGTGAAATTAATTTTAATGTTAACTTTATTTAACCCATTACATAAAAAATATTACTTCAACATGTAATCAATATAAAAAATTGAGTTATTTTACATTCTTTGGGGGAGGGGTACTAAAATTTTGAAATCCACAGTGTTTTACACTTACAGTACATCTCAATTCAGAGCAGTCACATTTCATGTGCTCAGCAGGCACATGTGGCCACTGCATTGTATAGCACAGATTATAGATGACTACTTACCTTGATTCCATTGTGGCATGCATTCTATAGTCTATATTCTGAATTTAAGTGTTATTCTTATCTTTAATTAAAAATGGAATTATTACAAAGTAATAATTTTGCAAATGTAAATTATTTAAATGTTACTTAATTGCTAACTCTAGCCTATTTAAAGACTGTTTATAAATTACTTATGAAGAGCTATAAGTACTATTTTAACTCACCAGAAAAATTACTCATATTTAAGCAAAAGAAAAAAACAGTAAAGTATTTAGAAATGTTATTAGAGTAAGATAAGCCTATAGTAAGCTTTTTATTGTTTCATCCCCAATCTTTCTTGCTTACTGAGCAAGTACCAACAAATTATTATTCAGGTGAATGTGGTAAACATAATTATCTAAGTCAGCTGTAATCACCAAGATGGAATTAAGGATTATTTTCATACATCATATAGAGAGCTGGATTAGAAGTCGTTTGATCAGTTAATGGTTTTTTACCTCTCCAATTGCCAACAAACGATCCTTATAATTCTCAATAATGGGCAAAGCTATGTCCAAATCCTGGGAGAAAAAAGGGAAAATTGTTAAAGGGAAGGAGAAAGAAACTAGTATTTCACAAGCCCCTATTATGTGCCAGGTACTATGCTATACTGGTGCTTTACAAATATTTAACCCACTTAACCAGTCAAATAACTGGGAATAGTAAACTTTCTATAATAGTGAGTACCTCTACCTGTAAATTTGAGTAGAAACTTATCCCATACCCATTCAGGTCACAAAAATATGGCTTTTTATGAAGATTCCTACTTAAACACTGACTTCTGTTTAGAAGGCATTTCCTGGTATTTAGGAGACATTTAGATTTCCTGGAACAGTTTACAGAGAAGCAAACTACCAGGTTGTCAACTTTCCATGTGTGTTTTTGACACTGTATTGTGTCATGTTCTCTTTTTAGGGTACTTCCAGTTAGTGAGCTTATAATAGTAATAATTCCATACTCCCTTTGCACTGTTTTTTTTTTTTTTAATTTGTCTTTATAGCCCTTCCTGGCCTACTTGCCCTAAAAGTTTGACAATATAAACAATGAATATCACATATATGCTTGTTTGTTAACTACTGAAGTAGTTGTGTACCATTCATTTCAATAATATTATTTTTTCCACTTAAGAGAATTTGCCCTGTGAGAGTTTTCTTCTAAGGCAGAGGAAATACAAATATATAGAAAATTACTTTTAGATACCTTTTAGACTACTTTGCAGATTTTAGTTTCAGGATATGTAAATTGCAAAGTACTTCTACTAAGGATAATCAAAATAAGAGAATAAAGAAAAGGGAGGTAAAGTAGGTATTAGAGGAACACGAAGAGTTTTATGCCACCAGAGATATAGAAAAGATGAGGGAGAGTAAACTAAGGCCTTAGTGGACTTTATAAAGAGGAATTAACATTGTCATGAAGAGTGAAGAGTACATGGCCCTGGATGTCAGAGACCCTGACAATAGTTGAATAGGTTAAACAGTATCAGGCAAAAATTTTTCCATATCAAACACCCAAACTAGCCGGGCTCAGTGGCTCAGCCTGTAATCCTGCGCCTTTGGGAGGCTGAGGTGAGTGGATTGCCTGAGCCCGCGGGTTCGAGACCCGCCTGGGCAGCGAGACTTCATCTCTACAATAAATCAAAAAATCAGCCGGGCGTGGTAGCGCATGCCTGTAATTCCAGGTACTCCGAAGGCTGAGGCAGAAGGATTGCTGGAGCCCAGCAGGTTGAGGCTGCGGTGGCCGGGTGCGGCCACTGCACTCTAGTCTGGGCGACAGAGTGAGACTCCAACTCCAAAAAAACAAAAACAAACAAACAAAAACCACCCAAACTATTCTATGACCTCAGAGGGACTATGACCTCAGAGGGACTCAGAGGGACTGGAGAAGTGGAAGAAATCACCCAGGAAATGTCTAATACTTAGAAAGTCTAAATCACAAAGAAATTACACATTTGAATGAAGATCGGATGTTAAAACAAAAATGCCTCTTGAAATATATATTATCTATGAATGAAGCAAAACAAATTTATAGTGAGACTATGTAAACTCCTAATAAAATAGATCTAGAAGTTACTTAGCAATTCAATGATAAATAGAAATCAATAGAATATAATTCATGTTACTTAATGTATACAAATGCAATTGTATGTGTGGTCTTTATCATTTTATTTTAGTAGATGTAAACATATTAATGAAGGTATTCATAGATCTATTTCTGACCTCTGTTCTATTCCCACTTCCCCTATAAGATCTCAAGTTCCTTAAAGCTAATAGTTCTATTATGATTTCTTATAAAAAGATCCTATACCACTATACCTTATAATTAGGATACTACTTCTATACTATTACACAGTTATACAAATGAGGAAATTAAAACTTGGCGAAGTTAGGTAACATGCCAAAGATAAAAGAAGCCAGTAGTCCAGGTCTCTGACTTCAAGCCCATGCTGCTGAAAAGAGGAAAGAGGGAGGAAAAGAGGGAAGGAATGAAAGAACAAAAGGAGGGAAGGAAGCTTTACTCAGAATTATTTTAAATAATTAAAATAGATTTTTTAAAATTAAAGTGTTTAGTTTGAGAACCTTTAGAACATTCCAGGTGTCTAACAGAAAGGCGTGAAGTGGGGCAAATAGAGACAGCAGCCAACGGGAGAGCCTATGCCTTGCCTGCGGGGCAGCAGACTATGGCCAGTGAAGTGCAGTTCACTACAGTTCATTATAGTTCCTTCCTAGCACCTGGTAATAATATTTACTGAGTCAATTAATTAATTCAGAAATATGCTGAAAGATTTGTATGATGCTAGGCAATTCATTTTATAAACTAAGTTAATTTAATGAATGCTTACTACATACCTAGCTTTGTACCATGTATTTGAGAAATTTCTAAAGATACAAGGTAAACTTCATTCTTTAAGGGAACTTACAATCTAATAAGTATGGGAAAACTAAATTGTAGAATGGACTACAAGTGCAACTGGAATAAAACAGGGCTACTCTGCTCAGCTGGTCTAGTCTAGAGGTCTATCCTGAAATTTGATGAGTTCATGTCTGCTTTGAGAATCAAGAATTACCTATCTACTGTTGGTAAACTAATTACTTTAGTAAGTTAAACAGTTCTATCAGTTCTACACTAATGCCAAATGTATGCCACATGTACCCACTTCTCTTTACTTCCACTGCTACCACCCTACCCGATCTGCCATCATGTCTCACATAGACTATTGAAACAGCCTTCTAACTTTCTCCCTTCTTCCTTTTTTGCCCTCTTCAAAATTAATTCTTCATTCCAGAGCCAGGGAATCTTTTTAAAACATAAATCACTTCTCACTTTAAAACCTCCATTGCATGTAAACTAAAATCCAACAAGGCCCTGTTTGAGATCTCTGCCCATCCCTCTGATCCCATCATTACCACTGCCCCCCCCAACCACATCAGCCTTCTTTCTATTTCTTGACCACATCAAACTTGTCTCTATCTTAGAGGTTTTGCTTTGTTTCCTTTGCCTACAACACTCTGACCCAATCTTTGTATGACCAATCTCTCTGTAGTATTCAGGTTGCAGCTCATATGTTACCACCTCAGAGTCCTTCCTTGATGACACAATCTAAAAACCAGCATCCACAATACCTATCACATAATCTTGTTTTACTGTCTTCAAAGCACCCAGTGCTATCTAAAGATTTCCTGTTTGCATAACTGTTGTTTGTCTGCCTCATCTAGAATCTTCCAAGAGAGATCTTTTTTTTTGTTTGTTTGTTTTTTGAGTTGGAGTCTCACTCTGTCGCCCAGCCTGGAGTGCAGTGGCCGCTCCCGGCCACCGCAGCCGCGACCTGCTGAGCTCCGGCTATCCTTGCGCCTCAGCCTTCCAAGTAGCTGGAACTACAGGCGCGTGCTACCATGCCCAGCTAATTTTTTGATTTATTGTAGAGATGAGGTCTCACCAAGTTGCCCTGCCAGTCTCGAAACCGCAGGCTCAGGCAATCCACTCACCTCAGCATCCCAAGGCACGGGATTGCAGGCTGAGCCACTGAGATCTCTGCAAGAGAGATCTTATCACTGGGTCTATAGTGCTGAGAGCAGTGCCTGGCATGCGGTAGGTGCTCAGTAAACACTGGTTGACTAAGTGAATGTCTAGTAGTATAAATCCCTACATCAATAAAGGAACTGAAGGCTGGCTATGATTCTCATCATTTGTGGAAGTGTGGCTTTCTGGCAATTTAGCTAATTTTATCATTCTCAACAACTCAGGAGAACTACAGGATAAGCAACTTTAACTGAAGTGAATGAAAAGTAATTGTATTTATCTATTTACTTATTTATTTAGAGTCAGGTCTCACTCTGTCACTCAGGCTACATAATCATGGCTCACCACAGCCTCGAATGTCTGGGCTTAGTGATCCTCTCACTTCAGCCTCCCGAGTAGCTGGGACTATAGGTGCATGTCACCACAGTTGGCTAATTTTTAAAAATTTTTTTAGAAATGAGGTTTCACTATGTTGCCCAGACTGGTGTCGAACTCCAGAGCACAACCAAAACTCTTGCCTGGCCTCCCAAAGTACCGGAATTACAGGCATGAGCCACTGCTCCCAGCTAAAAGTAATTTTAATTTAAAATAAGCAGAGCTACCTGAGGTATCTTAATATAGGAATAGAGATATGTTGCTATATAAATTTATGAATATTTCCTCATTTAATCTACACATATCTTAATTTATTCATAGGTGAAAAAAGTCATTACTTCTTTGAGATGGAGCCATCAACCCTATTATGCAATAAAGTACTCAAGAAACTGTGCATATTCTTTTTTTTTTTGAGTCAGAGTCTTACTCCATTGCCCAAGTTGGAGTGCAGTGGCATGCTCACGGCCACCCCAGCTCAACCTGCTGGGCTCCAGTGATCCTTCCACCTCAGCCTTCCAAGTAGCCACAACTACAGGCATGCACTACCACACCTGGATAATTTTTTATTTATTTATTATAGACACGAGGTCTCACCAAGTTGCCCAGGTTGGTCTCGAACCTGCGGGTTCAGGCAATCCACTCGCCTCAGCCTTCCAAGGTGCTGGGATTACAGGCTGAGCCGCCAAGATTGGCCGAAATTGTGCATATTCTTGATGCCGAGTCAGAAGACAAGTGTGAAATATAAGACATATTGACCACTGTGAGTCAGTGAGACATTGTGGGTAGGATGTTTTCAGAGAGGGTATAAAAACAGTGCAATTTAGTAGATCAAGAGTACTCCTGTAGCAATGGTTCCATGCTGAAAGAAGATACTACTTACCAGAACTCATCTGTTCCCTAATAGTATGGCACCTGTGAATTTGTATTCTGGACATTCGATTACTTTTTTGCCAAAGCAATATGAAAAAAATAGTGAAAAATGTTGCCTGTAATTCTACCAGATCATCATAATTACTATCATTTCTGTGTTTTTCTCTCTAGTCTGTTAAAAAAATAGGATGTATTTTTGGTTTTTTGGTTTTTTTTTGAGCCAGAGTCTCACTCAGTCGCCCAGACTGGAGTGCAGTGGCCGCTCCTGGCCACCGCAGCCTCGGCCTGCTGGGCTCCGGCGATCCTTCCGCCTCAGCCTTCCAAGTAGCCGGAATTACAGGCATGCGCTACCACACCCGGCTGATTTTTGATTTATTGTAGAGATGAGGTCTTGCTGCCCAGGTGGGTCTCGAACCCGCGGGCTCAGGCAATCCACTCACCTCAGCCTCCCAAAGGCGCGGGATTACAGGCTGAGCCACGGAGCCCGACTGGATATATTTTTATGTAGATGTCATTCATAGCAAATAAACCATTTGGTATCCTGCTTCCCCCCCCATATTATACTGTAAACAGCTTCTATGTGCTACAAAAACCTTATAATCCCCATTTTCTATAAATGCATTATTTAACAATCTACAAGTTAACTAAAGATTCCTTTATTTTTGAATCTCTAGATTGTTTTCATTTTTTCCCTATTATAAATAATGGTACAACTAAAATCTTTGTGAAAGAAGGTAATGTTTCCCTCCTTTGGGTTATTTCCTTAGATCATAAATTAGGAAGAGGAGGATTACTGAGTTAAAAGGTGTTATTTTTTAGTGTTCTTGTATTATATGACTGTTACCTTTAATGTGACACTTCTTTGGTCTTCTGGTGAAAGTCCTTGAACTGGGTGAACACCCAAGCAGGGCAGAACAAACCCATTATACCTAAAAATGTAGAACAAATTAAGAAAGCAGAAAGAGTGGACTACAGTGTTACTCTAAAAAACAAGTAGAAAAGAATCTCTTTTTAGGGCCATATTAAAATGCTTTCCTCCTCATTCCCTTTAAAGATGAGCCTTCCATATGATAAAGAAGACATTATAACTATGTCCTTATTAGCAACTCTTTAAACTTTTAATTAGAAGTAGCACCTTTCTGAAAGTTGTATAATCTTTTCAAATTCTCCTGAATGTTCAGCAACTGCCACAAGAGCCACAACATTGGCCTGAAAAAAGAAAGAAGAGTTAGAGTCCCAAACAATGCACATCTAATATAAAAATAAGCAATTTTAACGTTTTCTGTGTATTTTAGTTATCCTTGTTCATCCATGCTCCATCAATACAATCATAATGGTTGCCACTGAGTACTTACTATGTTTCAGGTTCTGTGATCAGTGAATATAAGTATTTCTTCATTTAATCTATACAAACCTATGAGGTAGGTGTTGCTGTCATCCACTAGACAGATAAGGAGACAGAGTCTTGGGTAGAGTTAAATAACTTGCCCAAGGTTATAAGACCAGTGTAACTCCAAAGCCCACATTCCTAATTAAGCTGTCACAATGAAAGTTGGCTATAAAGAAGCAGTACAAGCCGGGCTCGGTGGCTCAGCCTGTAATCCCACGCCTTTGGGAGGCTGAGGTGAGTGGACTGTCCAAGCCCGTGGGTTCGAGACCTGCCTGGGCAGGCAAGACCTCATCTCTACAATAAAATAAAAAAATGAGCCAGGCATGGTAGCGTGCGCCTATAATTCTGGCTACTCGGAAGGCTGAGGTGGAAGGATCGCCGGAGCCCAGCAGG